TGTAGCATGATGTAGCCAGATGGAATGTGTGTAGCGAGGAACCCATGTAGCATGACGTAGCCAGATGGAATGTGTGTGTAGCAAGAGGAACCCATGTAGCATGATATAGTCAGAGGGAATGTGCATAGCGTGATATAGCCAAGGGGAATGTGTGTTGCGCGAGGAACCCACATGGTAAACTTTGTTTTGAAATCAGAAACTATCATTTAACCCTAGAATGCTAGTGTAGGGTCACTATGGCCCCATACCAACTGGTATTAATGACTGAACATTTAATGCTGGTATTTTAGGGTTAAATAGAAGTGTGTTTAGTATAACAATGAACTATGATATGTTACTATGGTAACCAGAAAAGCTGTCTATATTGCCTAATGAAGAGTGGATTGTAGTAAGATATTGTTAGGGTTAGAAAAAACTAAGCCATATTTGTAAAATAAATAATGCTTTACATGAAATATCAGTAATACATAATGGTAAACATGTGTTTCATCTGCAACTTACCAATGGTGATAAATCTTCGTCACCACCAAGTCCACCCATCTGTCCCATCATCTAAAAGAAAAAAGTAAAATTTACAGAAACTACCAATACCACCCGTTTCTTACTTTCTTTACATCAAAAGTTTCTCATTTCTTCAAACACAAGTATTACCATATATAAATAAAACTGCTCTATAAGAATAGAATTAATTAGAAAATATTAGTGGTTTCAAACACTGATCTTACAATAATATGAAACAATAAGTTCTCAAAACACATTTCAAATCAAAAAGTCAAAACTTGAAAAAAACAAAGTTTACTCAAAAGTTTAAATCTTGTGAGGATTATCAACTGTTTTTATGAAGCTTACACACAAGTTTAAATCTAGTGAAGATTATCAACTGTTTTTATGAAGCTTACACCAAAGTTTAAATCTGGTGAGGATTATCCAATGTTTTTATGAAGCTTACACAAAAGTTTAAATCTAGTAAGGATTATCCAATGTTTTTATGAAGCTTAACAAAAGATTAAATCTAGTAAGGATTATCCAATGTTTTTATGAAGCTTACACAAGATTAAATCTAGTGAGGATTATCCAATGTTTTTATGAAACTT